AATCCTAAATGCAACATATTTCTTTTTAGGAATATGTTATGTAGACTTTCCTTACACTCAATAACAATCCAACCTTTTAATGAAGACTACTGGGTCCACCTGTTAAAAAAAAAGAAGCCTATCAGCCACAGGGCTCTATTTAGCGTGTTTTCCACCTGGGTTGCCTGGTGCTTGGAACCCTCATCACAGGTGTGGTTGCTGTTGACAGTGGCCATAAGGAGATCCTCACGGGAAGTGCTCAGAAAACCAAACCACAACAGGCTAAGGAGAGTGTTCTCCCAGCAAAGCCCAATCCTATAACAGGCTTATGCAACTTATCAGAGCCAAGATCCATATTATATAACAACATGAATTTGGCCTGTTCCCAGCTGGGCTTCGGGCTGCCATTGCATCTTTCCCCCAGCAAGAGACAGGTCAGATATTGCATTTATAAACATAAATGATGACCCCTTTTTTTTGCTCCTGTAAACTCCTGACATTTCATAGTTGACTGGAAATAAATGTTACTCAAATGCAACATACCTGTGATGTTTATAAGTAAAATATCAGCCTTTTCTTTCCATATAAGCTATTGCAAAGGCTGTTGTTGAAAGGTTAGTCTTGTCAGTGTTCACTGACCCTCCTGACTAAAGATATCGGTGCCTGAATTCCATGCGGTGACCATGGTGATTATATGATACATGTTGACTCGAATAAGATGACTTGATTGGATTCTAGTGGGAAAAAAATGACCATCTAAAGTGGCATTATTGGATCCTCCACTGGAGCAATCATCCAAATCAAAACACTATATGAATGAAAAATCTCCCCAGAAAACTCTGTTAAACAGGAAGGCAGACCTAAATCTTCCATAAACCATGGAAAATATTACAGAGCAGAATGATCAGTGGGAGTCATGTACCTTGGATATTTTTGTCTCAAAGAATATTATGTTGACAGCAAACAGTGTATTAACCTAAAATCCATCACTTTGAAAATGAACCAACAATAATATAATTTCACAATTAGCAGAATGATCAATGGGAGTCATGTACCTTAGATATTTTTGTCTCAAAGAATATTATGTTGACAGCAAACAGTGCATTCACCTAAAATCCATCACTTTGAAAATGAACCAACGATAATAGAATTTTACAAACATAACATTTGTATTTCTTTTTTCCTGCTACAAAGTGAGAGCCTGTAGGTCAAAGTAAGAGATAGAACCTGTTACATCCCAGCATGATGTTTAAACGAAGAAACTGGATAAACGGAGTATCAAATAGCAAGAAAACTGCAGTAGATTAACAACAAACTCAACAGTATACTCTGTTTGACCAAATGATATGTAACATGGTTTGCAGTAACCAGTAAGTTACACTGAAATTATATCTCCCAAGTTAGTTATCATTATTTACGAACAGGGAGAATAGGCCGAGGAATGCCAAGGCATTTTAGAAACGGACGGAAAATCATCAGCAATAGGTCCGATGTAAGGACGAGTCCTCAACAGAACCTGGACCTCAACGTCATCAAAGCAGCGTGGGTTATGTGAAAACCCCACACTGACAAAGAGGAGAACAAAAGGCAGCCAACATCCAAAGAAGAACCTTAGGATGTCCTTCAAGAAGCCTGGAAAACTATTCCTGAAGACATCTTAAATATGAAAAAGGTCTGTCTGAGAGGGCTGAGGCTTCGTTGGACCATAAAGGATATCATATAAAAAAATCAACTTTTGGCTTATCTATATAACTAACAGACTGTCTATCAAACCAAATCCAAAGACTGCAAGAGCACCTCGGCATTACTCACATTTTAGAATCCATCAGACATCAATTCTTCATGGCAGTCAGCAGCACTTGCAGTGGTGCTCCTTTAAATACAGCAGATTCTTTTGGCTGCAGTCACATTTCTGCCACCCACTGAGCACCCAAGCTCAGGATCACAGCTAATCTTCCAGAAAAGCTTCTTCCAGGAGCGGGAAACTGTTACAAAGCTTTACAGATCGGCATAAAACGGTTAGATCTAAAAGACTTTCGATAAAACCACTTTGCACCTTTGACTTACCGCTGATCGGCACATTTTTAGAAACAGAATCAGAGGTGAGTGTGGACACAGTGGTTGACTTGAGTAGCTTTCTGTGTTTGAAAGATTCAAACATCAGCATTGACTGGTTTGAAAGAATTTCTATTTAAATTATTGGGTACAACAGATTAGACTAAAAATAAATGAAAAAGCAGTAAATCTTAAGCCGTCATTTATGACAAAAATGTCCACTTACAAGAAACTTGCTCTAAAAATGAACAGATTCATATTTCCCTGCGTTAATCTCCTTAAACAACTACTAACAAATATTCAAAACATTTTAGGATTTAAATGCTGACAAAATTTCACCGTTGTTTGTTATTTGGGATTTTTAAAAACTTTCCCTGTATTGCATTTTATTACATTTTTTAAATTTAACATAATATTTGCAATTCACCATCATTTTGAGTAGTTTGAGGACATTTAATTCCCTTTAACTCTCTTTAAAACTCAAATTTTATGAAATACAATCAGACATCGAGTGACGTTTATTTTTCATTTTTGAGAAAAATAGTCAAAATTTCTATTTCTACAGTACCCATTGGCACCCATTGGCTCCCACTTACATTTTCCATGATTTATTTAAAAAAATCGTTATGAGCCATTATGTTTTAAAAAACAGCAACTGTGAGATTAAGTCATTACTCTTGAATTAGGATTTAGATGTTTTGTAGTGTTTTTTATGCAGAAAACAGCTGGATTCAATAATAATCTGTTACATTTTGAAAAGCGATTAATGACTTTTTATAACCAAAGCTCAACGAAGCAGTAATATGAGTAATATATATTATTGCAATATACATTATATTAATTTTCTTTAAGAGGTTTTGTTGATGTGTTACCAAAATCTTAATCAGAAGTGTATTACAGGAAAAACTTTTGTGACTAAAACAACATTTTGTGAATTTGTTTCCAGATGAAGTTTTTCAGGTTCAGCTTTTCTGTGCTTTTATTCTGTTTCCAGGGTCTTGGTTAGAGTTCCCTCTAAGTATGTCTTATGCTGGTCTCTGTCATCCATTTCCTGTGCTTACTTGTGTCTCTGTCACCTTCATTCTTGCCTGTCAGATTCCTCTGGCTGTCCTTATCAGTTCATCCCCCTGAACTTGTGCTTTCTTGCCAGCTCTTCATTCCATATATCATTCTCCCCTGTATAGGTCCCCTATCCTTTCATTTAATTTAAAAATAAGTTTAGATTTATTTGTCTGCATGTAATGTGATAAGTAGCAGGCCGTGTTACTACAGGAAAAACATGGAATTTGGACACGTTCATGTTAAAATGAGGCAAAAACAGATTAAATGAGTGGAATCTCTTTTTTTTTCAAGTAAAAAACAGCATTTTTTAAGCGGTGTCTGTAACAGAGGTCTATGTTTTTATCACCTTCACTGTGTCTCTGAACTTAAAGAGCCAAAATCCATTCATCTACCTCATAAACATAACAAGGAATGTTCCACATTGGTTTTGTATGAGGGATTAAATTAGTCTTTGAAAATAAAATAAAAAGTATAGATAAAAAAAATCTAAGATAAAGGAAAGTATTTCCATTTCCACAATTCTCAGCTCTTCTTTGTTGTGATCTTGGCAGGACATGTTGGATAAAGGGTCAAATTAGGCCTAATTACTGCAAACCATGTCAACAAGCAGGCAGAAACAGCAAGGAAAGTTTAGTTTTTATTGCATCAAAGTGTTAAATTATGTTTTTTAAAATCATCAATAAGAATTTGTATGTATAAATATTCATTGTTGTTTTATCAGATGGCGTTAGTGTTATGTAATGTTTATAGGATTTTCGTTTGTAGTCTACACCCACCTCAATGGGCTGACATACAGTAGGAGGGTATAAAAACGACTCTGTTGTGATAGTGACAGTGGATTTCAGATGTTTTGAAGTACAGTAAATGCAGCTGAAGGTGTTTGGGGATCCTCAAGAGATTGGAGTAATTGCGGAGATAGACAAATCTTCTTATCCGAGTAGAAATTTGATGACGGAAAAAAAAAAGTATGCCTACGTAACAAAAAAAAACAAAAAAAATAGCAAGAGTCTGAATGTGCTGAAATAAGGTCCGCACAATTATAAATAGATTTGACCCTGTGTGTGAGATATATTATCAGTGTGTGGGCAGAATTCTGCAGCTTCAGCATCTGGGATTTGCCACCACACGTCTCAGCATGACATCACTGTTTCATCATTGTAGTTCTTCCTCAACACAAGCCTGGAAATTTGATACTGTTTGGCCCGTTAGCGTCGTGTTCTACCATTTAGCTTTTGCTGATCCTATGATGAGGAAACAGCTAATTTTCTCTGCCTTATTTGCCAAGTGTGTGTGTAGGTGTGTGTGCGCGTCGCACTAGGGAATCCTGCAAAGACGGGGCAAAATAAATCACATTTTTTGCAGGATCATAAGTGTAGAATGTAGGGGAAACTACAGCACGAGGAAGTCCCTGTTGCCGTTGTGTTTGCGGTTTCTTAGAGAAGCCAGAGCAGAACGCACAAATGAGGGAGTCGAAACAAAGAGCTCGGAAATCATGTTTGTAAAAAGCCAACTGAGCGTCAGGAGCCAGTGGGTTTAATATGAGGGCAAACAGCATCACCTACAGGACAGACTGCAGTTTGACACATTTATTTATACATTTTTTTAAACAGCTTTATTATTTGGAATCAAAAGGGAACCTTTAGGAGGGAGTGACTCCATGAAGGTTCTAAAATCTTAAAAGACATTCAAATTGGTTCCTTGAAAATTGCAAAAATACAAGAAAAGGCACTTATGTTACATGACCACAACAAAACAGTAAAAAAGAAGAAATCTGAGATAAAAAGTAGAAAAAGAGAATCCCACAAAAGTCAAAAGCCTGGGATTTAAAGCTACTATACTTCAGTATAATCAAACATTTGTGATTAATTTATTCGTTGCCCATTGTAGTGCTTTCAATTCTTTAAAAAAAAAGAAAAGAAAGGAAATTGCGGTGAATAACTGGAATGTGATTAAAAAGATACAAACAATTTATTTTTCTGGTGACATTAACAGCGATTAACGATCAACTATTATCAACTAATCTGCAGTGACCTGAAAACCGGTAAAGCATTTGTAAAGCTGCTTTTTTTCCCCCAAAGTTTCTCTTTAGCTGAAGTCTCTGTCAGACAGCACCAGCGGGGCCACCAGGGTCCAAAGGTAGAGACCCAGGCCCAGCCAGCTGGAGCCTATCTTCACCCAGACAGCTGGCATGGTGGTCTGCATGGCCTCGTAGTCTGTGTTGGGCCTGGGAAACGAGAGTAAGGGGGTGTGTCAACGGGCTGGGCAGCGGCGGGACGGCAGACGGCCGCAGACTGCAGATACTCACTGGTACCAGTTGGTGAGGGTCATCATGATGTAGAGAGAGGCCAGGAAAAGGCTGAAGTGAAAGAAGGAGTAGCTGTAGGTGACGCCCTCCTCTTCGTTGTCCACGGCATGGTGGACGCCGTCCTCCCCCCCGCCGGCCTCCATGCTGGCCGTCAGACCCTGGCCCTCCTCGGTCTGCATCAGCTTGTTCACTTGGGAGTTGTTGGATGAGCGGATGCTGTGATTGAACAGAGCTCAGGCTCATTAAAACATTTTTTTTTAAAAGCTACTTTTACCGCAGACAATTCCCTCGGTCAGATTTCAGGATTGTTCTCGGCTCAAGTTGGAGTCAGAACTCTGAAAGAATTTGAATATAGTTAGCAAGTTCAAACAACCTCATACGTAAATTCAGTCACACCGGTTGCTCCTATTTGGTCACCAAACTTGATTTACAGTTACAAATATTGTAAAACAAGCAAGGTATCAGGAAGTTGTTCCTTGCCTGTGTCGCCTAGTGCTTGCTCATGGTGGGAATTGTTGGGTTTCTGTAATTAACTTCAGAGTAGGGTCTGACCTGCTCTGTTTGGAAAACGCTGTGAGATAACTGTTGTTGTGATGTGGCACTATATAAATAAAATTGCATTGAATTATCAATAAAACGTGTGAGAAATCCTTTGGTCCAGTATCTGTCTATTCACCCTCTGAGGGGACAGAATAAAGCCACCTCTGACAGCCAAATGGATCCTGACCCTAAACAGGATCTCGGGTGGTTTCTGTTTTATTCCAACGATCACTGAAAACAAACCATCCCCATCCTTATATTTGTTGTAGTCCCGCAATATTAATCATTGTGGTTGCACACCCTGGAGGTATCAAACACCATCAATCTGAATTTAAAGACCTACGTCTTTATGTTACACAGTAGAATAAACTCTGCACGACACTTAAGACGCTAAAAAGTGATCAGTTGCCATGATGACAGCAGGCCTCACCCTTTTTTACTTTAAAGCAGATGTTTCATTAGGTGGAAGTACATGAATTAAAAATAATAATAATTTAAACGATATAAACATACAAATTTGTTTGAGTTAGCTAAAGCAAAATGCCAAAGATGTTCAATTAAAAAAATTAAATAAAAAACTAGAAAAATTACTCCAATATTTAAAGTTGAATTGACTGATGTACCCATGCTAAGAGTGATGCCTATTTGATGGATTCAGGTGACTGACCTGTGATGCAACATTTACCTGGCATAAAGCGTGCAGAGGACGAAAATGATTAGCCCCACGACGCCCTGGGCGTCCCACCACTGCACGTTTCCCGGGGCTGGCGTGGGAGGAGCCGGTCCTGGGGCTGGGGTGGTCGAGCCGGGCTGGACCAGACTCAGCAGACTGGGGTTACACTTCCGGTCTGAGTCGAGAACACACAGCGGACAGCGTCACAGACAGGCCTGCGCTCACATCTAAACCCCCCCAGCGATTAGGAACACCTGTGTTTACGGTTTTGTTACTTACTGGGGTTGTTGGTCATGGCTGACCAGGTGACGTACATGGTGTAAAGAGAGATGAGTGAGGCCTGCAGCAGGCCCGAGGTGGGCTGAGCCTCCTGTGGAGAAACCGGGGTTAGAAACACAACATGATACTGCCTGCAGTCAAATGCTCAAATCGGGTCTAAGGCGGCTAAACATTGCTCCTCTGAGGTTCCGCATCACCTGAACTTTGGGCAGAATGGAGACGACGGACACCAGGATGCAGAAGATCAAGTTGAGGCTGATGAAGACCTTGTGCTCCGTGCAGCCGTCGGCTTGGGTGTAAAACACATAGAAGAGGACGACGGCGGTGAAAGCCATAGCGTAGTAGAAGATGGTGAAGGAGAGCAGAGCTGTGAGAAGAAAAACACAAAATGACACGACATCGTCACCAGGGAATCCAGGGAGACATAATACAGTTGGGTGAATTGCCCCGTTTGCTCTATATTCAACACTTACTTTTAATTGAAAACCCACATTTCCATGAAAGTTGTTCAAACCTCACATAGCAACTCATTAGAAGCTGTTCTTTTGAATTCTTTGCAAATGTATTTAGTATTGACTTGTTCTACTCCTATTTTCAACTTCATTTACATTTCATATAGAAGTAAACTGTTTTTGACTGCATAAGAGTGCCTCTACACAATCTTTCAAACAGATATTTCCCCACTCTGTTAGAAAACAATATTCAATTCCTGACGATGATGCGTAAAGTTTCCTTTGGAAAATCTGTACCTGCAAACCAGCACTTGGTGTTTCCCTCCTCTGCCTTCTCCAGCCAGGACTGGTTCCAGGAATGGGCAAAGTCCACCAGAAGGATGAGCTGGATGATGATGAAGACGAAGGAGCCAACCACGCCAAAGTAATACCACACTGAGCACAAGGAGGAAGAGGGTATTTTAGGACGTTTTGAACATTCAAATCGTAAATCGGGGATGCTCGATACAGTCCGTGGCACCAAGGTTTAGACATTTTCAGTATAGCTGGCAGATTAACTAAACTCGCCAACAGAATATTTCCTTATAAAAATCACATGTTAAGAGACATTAATGGATAGTTAATTTTATGATAAAAATCTAGATTTATTGTCTAAATCTGGCAGATTCCTGCTAAGAATAACTTACGGTAAGCTGTTTTATTTGTGAGCTGTTCAACTGCTGTTACTCAACAATAGGGGCCAAACAGTTCATACCTGTATTAAAAGTGCCATCTGGAATGAAAAAAGCTCCTACGGTGATGCCAACCAGTACCAGAAATTTAAAGAACCAGAAGCTGAGAAGATAAAAGAAAAGTTCTTCTTTATTTCACAGTTAAAGCACATGGTGTTAACAAGTTCCTACGGTGTGGGGGTGCAGTTTGGCCATCGGGGGGGGAAGTGTGTCGCTATTGCTGAGAGACTGAGGCTGAGGTACAAACCCGTTCTGGAGGGAGGCTCGGGGGTCCTTGCTGCTGCGCACTCGGATCATGATGATGGAGAAGAGGAGGAAGAAGCAGGCCATGGCAAAGCACATGCGGTACACTGACTTATAACCCACAATGACATCGCAGTTCACCTGGCCAGGTATGCTGGAGCTTCCCACACAGAAACCTGGAATCTGACCGTGTGAAAGTGCACAAAGGAAGAAACCGGTTAAAGAAAAGGACGAGGAGTTTAAAAAAAACTGCTTTTCTGGGAAAAATGAGGAAAAATAAACACGTCCATTGATATTTCTCCTCCTATACTTGAGCACATCTCTACCGTTGGGTAATGAAACCAAACAGGATACTTAACTAATATTCTTTTGACTTTGAATTAAGGTTAACGTTTAATTGTACCCTTTTGAGATGTTCCTCCATGCCAGGAAGGATCATGATGATGGACACAAACGTTCCAAGCAGCAGCAGGAAGGAGAAGGCCAGCCGGCTGATGGTGGAGTTGTATGTGGAAGGGCAGCATGATGACAAGAGGCAGGAGGCTGAGCCACAAAGGCAGGATGCCTGTGGGAGAAACGACCGAGTCGGTTAGAACAGTGATTTTCAACCACTGTGCCTCGGTACACTAGTGTGCCGCGAGTGATCATCAGGTGTGCCGTAGAAAATCATCCTATTTCACCTAATTGGTCTAAAAAAAAATTTGGATAAGGAACTAATTTTCTGAAAATAATATGCGATTTTTGAGTGTCTGTGCTGTACTAGTGACTGGTGGAGTAATCATGTAATAATTCCTTATGACTAGATTTTGTATATAATTTTGCATATTGAAGGGGATATGTTAAGTGCAATTTGAAAGAAGAAATTTAAAATAAGATAAAATAAGTATAACTATAGTGTTACTATAGGCGGCTACAGATTCGTTTAACATTTTTGGTTGGTGGTGTGCCTCGAGATTTTTTCAATGAAAAACTGTACCTTGGCTCAAAAAAGGTTGAAAAACACTGGCTTAGAAGGACGTTAGTTTCGGAATCCTCGTAGTAACGCGTACGTGGAGAGGAAACAAAACAAACGGGACATCTGAGAGCAGGAGAAGAAAGTTCGAGGCAAAAGGTTATCCGAGGTGATTACAGGTGCCATGGGAACAAATATTTGTGGATTTTTGTTTAAATCTAAAAAATAAAAATCACACAGGTCCCCAGTGGGATGCACACCGCTGAGAGATAGACTCTGTTGCAGCGATCAGATGTTCTTTGCCAAATATGAGCACAAACTGCAGTACATAAGCCCGGGATGTGAACAGAGCTGCTGCAGCCAGAAGGATCCAGTTTCCATGGCTCATCCTTGTCTGTGCTCAACTGCCCTGGCAACAAGCAGCACTCACAAATAACGGTAATCCTCTGTTGTGCCACTAATATGCCAAAAACACACCAAAATGCTACAGAGAGAGAGCACATTTTCAAGTCAGAGAAGAAGAAATAAAAAATAAAGAAAACCTATGGACACATAAACATGTGTTTTTTCATGGTGCTGAAATCCAGAAGCAGTGTGGGGAAAACCTATGGGGCTTTTCCATTATAAATGCAATCCAAACAGATAAACTGGCAGATTGACATTATTTGAATGAGTCACAGGCATGAGACAGCAATGAATAACATTGTGGTGACAATATATACCTGCTGGTTGGACAACAACGTTGGCTCAGGTGTAGCTGTTTACAACGTTGATGGTCACAGAAGTAATTTAACCGAACGCTTTTTGCAGTAGCTTTTAAAAACGGGCGGGAAGTTGGTGAAGGAGATGCTTTCATGACTCACTTGGTCAGGTGACTCCCCAGCTAATTGGTAAAATGTGGTTTGCCATCAGCCCGATTAGGCCTGCTTCGAACCCTGGCTGTGTATTATCTAAAAAAATAGTCAAGCTGATCCATGCAGAGCAGGTAGTGGGGTAAATGCCCTAAAAAATTGCCTTGTGATGCAACAGCAAGCAGGACCACCAGTTAAAAGCAAAAAAAAAGAAAATCTTCAAGCAAATAACACCAGAGAAAAATCAATACACTTTTCACTGAGGTGGAGCCAGGACAAAAATAGTTATTTAGGATTTTTATTTAGATGTAGAAAGCTGATACAGCCCAACACTAAAAAGTTTGCGTCTACTTCCTGGATGAATGGCGCTGCACACCTTTCTCCATCACACATACATCTGTGCCTTTTTAGTTTTTTAAAACTATGCTGTCATAAGTATATCCAGGCCCTAATAGCCCACAAAGCTGTGAAGTGTGTGAGCCATGGGAAATTACATTTATCAACTTTTAGGATTGTTATGAATTTTGGATATGAAACAGCATTTGGGTCCAGCACCACTTTGTTTGTGCAAAGTATTTGGCTTTCGAAAGTAAAACTTGATTTTACAGATTACATCAACTGACTAACTCTGCACTTACGAACATTAATCGATATTAAGTTTAAAAAAAACTAACTTTGAGGTCACTTCCCATACTTTGTTGCTTCTAACACACGCACTCAAACTATGTTTCTGTTTTTATGTATCAAACTGCCATACGCAACCCTTTTGGATGTAAACCCAGTTAAGAAATGAGAAATTAAAGAAATGAGAAATTAAATGCATGACAGAATTTCTTCCGTCTTTTTCAAAAACTGAGGATTAATAGTTGTCTTGGAAATGGTACCCCACCCCTCTTTGGTGTTTTAATACACAACACCAGGATTTTACCATTGAACCATCCCTGGATGTTTAAACAAACGCCAACATAAGAAGGAGTTTTTACCTGTTAGATGTCATGGTGTTAAAATAATACATTGATGGTAAACAGAAAGGTTCCAATGACCACTCCAATATTTACGTCAAAGGAGATGGGTCCAGAGCAAAACCCGGAAATGGGAGCAGTTCTGGGGTAATGCGTGATTTTCATATAACTCCTAGACTTATACTCTTATACTACCGCAAACACGGCTAAAGATTCATAGGCAACAAAGAATAGGCTGCACTTAAACACAGCTTTGTGTTCGTTTGATTTTCTTCAGTTATCAATATACTATGTACTCGACAAACAACACGTTAAACTTAGCTTAGTTAGTCAACAGTTGAACAAACAAACGTCTCAACTAAAAAACTAATACGCTTTGGAGATAATATATATGTATACTTACACAACTCCCGAGGGAGCCTAGTGCCAAACACGCTCCCATATCGGTTTAATTCACAATTCTGCTGTAAATCTCTTCTACGCAGAAAAGTTCGGGAAGAAAGTGACACAAAATGGTGACGTCAAGCCTGTTAAAAAAGCACCGGGCGGATGTTTGCTCGCTTCCTCCAAAGTACAATCTTTGTCACGCGCGCATGTTTTGAACAGTGTTTGTGTGTGTGTGAGCTAAAACGCAAATGTCAATTGAACATTTGTTTTATTTTGACAGAAAACAGCATCATGTTCCGGCAACGTTTGTTTGAAGGTAATTTTCGGGTGTTCTTCGTTCGTTCTGAGTTCGCTTTTCGATGCTTTACTGCCATTGGTTTAATTGGCTTCCCTGTATAAAATATTGACCAATTAGATATGAATGCTAAGCAAACAGATAACTACCTAACACAAACACACACACGCACAAACACACACACACACACAAACACACACGCACAACTGTAAATCATTATCTATTTTCTATTAAATTTGAATCAGATTACAAGATAGCTTTTCCCCCGATATATTGTTGCAACTTATCTTACTTGTCAGGATACTTTGTATTTAATTCGTCTTTAAACGGATGGTATGAGTTGGAATAGTCCCATCCTACATGGTTCCAAGAATTAATATAAGAATAGTGCTGTCATAAGCGTTATTCATGGTTATTAAAATGATTAATAATGGAGCCCGCGTGCACAAGAATTGTGAAGTTATTCTAAGAGTATTTAAGCACGTAGGAGTTAATGGCTATATATCTGGCCTAGAAAAAAGCTCTGCAAGAAAACAGGTGTGACAGTGAAGGTCGGGCAGGTTGAATTTATATGCGATGGGGTGACAGAGAGAGCAGGGAGGGATGTATCCTCCATCTGTTTGTGTCTGACTTTCAGCAGGTCAGACATAATCAAAGCAGATCACCTGTGTTTTTTATGCCTGTGTGAGCCTAATAGACTCTTCATTGTTGAATTTTTCAGCCACGCTGCGTGAATCCAATTGTCTTGTCACTCTTAATCTAGTTGGTCTATTGTATAGCTTTATTTAGATATGATTACTGTTACCATTTTTGATAAGAACATTTCAAGACTATAATCAACAGCTCATACAAAGAAGCTTTTATTTTATTACTGCAGACAAAATTGTGCATTAAGGAAAGAAAATATAACTTCAGTGAATGAGATGCAGGGATCAATAGAATGATTTTTAATAATGCATTTAGTTTGTTTCTAATCACACTGCTTGAAGAAGACGCACCCCTGAATAACAGAATGGTATAAACCTATTAAATGAAGGCAGTAAGATAATACTACACAGGAAATGGCTACCAACTCCTTCAAAATAATTTAAGCCTATGTCCGTTAAACACTCAGGCCTGGAGCCTGCCCCAGAAATTGGGCATAAAGTGTGTAAAGTACACCCTGGTTGCCAGTCCATCACAGGGCTACATAAAACAAACAACAACACACTTTAGTGCCTGTTAAAACTTGATACAAGCAACATCAGCAAACCTTACATTTTGAGTTGGAGTGATACTGGATTTTGATATTTTTCTCTTAATAGAAAACGTAAGGGGAAAGAGTGTACAAATCTCAGAAAAATTGTGGAAAATTCTGACCATGCACTGAATCTGTGCATTTACCATATTTTGTACCTGACTAATCAAGCTTGAGCTTTAACTTGGAGCTGCCACTTGGCAATAGGATAGTTTGCAAGTTTATTGATAGGGAGGGACAGGATCATTAGTAATCAAAATGAATATATAAGAGTAATTTAGAATAGCTACAAAACCCAACATGAATTATCATTTAAACTTATGAACAGAAACCCCAGGAACCAAAAGCTATGTTAATGTGAGGCTCCATAGGTCCACACCACCCAACAGTTCAGCTCATGTTTGTATATATTTTTGTAAATTTATCCAAATGATCTACACATTTCAAATGACAAGTGTAACACTCTTATCTCCAGCTTTGACGACTGGAGGTTTTGAACTACTGAGCTGCATCCACACTTTCCCTGAGGTCACATGTTTAGATCAGATCTAGGCACTCTATGAGTTTTCTGCCAGATGGACAAATGGGTTTTAACTGCAAGATTGAAGGTGGAAATTGTGAGGCTTCCATCTTTGTTAATGTTGTTTCCCCCCAAAAAATATCCCTTGTCTAACATGCATTGAGCCAAATGGTCTCTCATCACCTGGTTGTTTCACACTTTCACTCTTGTGACCTAAATTCAGTCTGTATCCTAATATAATATTTTGTCCACATGGCAATAAAAAGTCCAGCTCATAATTAGTAAAATACGTGGTCGGGCCAGATGGATCGACCATTATCTACTCATGTATCATTCGGCGTGTCAGTTCCAAATTGGAAACACCTGGATGCTTTTGAAAACACTAGAGGTTGTGACCGGCTGCCCAAACAACAGAATATTAACAAAAAGAAAGAAAAAACAACAAGGGGCTGGAAATGATTAGACAGCACGAGACTCTTCACTCGTAACGCCAAGCTTTTACTTTGAAGAGTGAATCCCTGCTCTTGTATCTAAGCACGTGCGTCTTCACGCTCCTCCTTGTTGCTGCCGCGCTCGCAGCAAAAGCGCTCGAGAGCCAGTGTGGCGTCACCCGCCGCTCCACTGCTCCGCGGGCCAGGCTGTGTCGTGTCGTGGAGCCCTGAAATGTGCCCCGCTGGACAGACTCCGTGACACCGCCGCGCTTTTCTTCTACGAGCTCCCCCGTGGAAGATGGTGGCCACCGGATAGCTCAAACTTCGGACGCCTTTCGTCTGCCTCCGCGTCTTTTCTTCCCTATCCGCCAAACGCGCTAAATATCGGTGAGTGTCCGTAAGCGGTAACCTGCGCTGCTCCACAGGTAGGACGGACTGCCCTTTTTCGTCGCTGACAAACGCTCTCTAACACAAACCGTGATAATAAATCCTAGCAACGGCGGGAAGAATCAACCAATAGGCTATGGCATACTGTAGCTATTATTCTAACTGAAAATGATTGGCTGAAAGAAAACAATCAAACAAAACGAATTTCAAACGAATCAACATCAAAGACAACAGCAAATTAATAACAAGAGCTTTAACAACAGATCAAAGGCATCATTTTTTCGAATAAAACCGCCAAACTGGGTGAAAATGGATGAGGCGAGCCGTAAACTCCAGCCCCATACCTGTCACCTCCATAGGAGCAGCAGCTTTGTGTGCATCCGCTACTCACATGGAAATGCCACCGGCTCCCAACGGTGAGCTTTATGGCAGCTGGATTATCTCCTCCGATTTATCCAAAGGTGTGCAGACCGTGACCTTCACACAATGAAGCGAAACCCCAGGCATTTTGTTCATTAGGCCAAAATTAAAACCAGGGAAATGGACAAAGGAGAATCTGAAGTGCTCTTTCTAAAAAATGCAACAGGGCTGCTTTTGGATTTGTATTGGGTAGAGGGCTCATATTAAAAGACAGAGGACATGGAAATGTTGGCCCCCTGGTTATAAAAAAACATCAATTTTAAAAGCAGCCCCTTAAATCCACTGAACTCTTATCTTTCTTCATCATACTGGCATCCTTGGCATAGCATCTGCTCTCATTCGTGTGCCCTATGTTCCTGCAACAAGCCTCAGCTTCTCTGCTTTTGAATGTGGGGCTAAAAATATTTCAACCAAAACTTCAGTTTGATCTCTTCCTTTTTCTGTATGTGTAGTGAATCATGTGTTGCGCAATGTCAAGTGAAGGAAATGAAATCAGGGTATTCTCTTTTAGAAGCAGCTCTGCCCTCCTTCTCAGTTTTTAAAGTGTACCTGTACGTCAAACAGCCTTGGCAAAGCTTTACAGCAATATTTTCTTCTTTCCATGTAGAGTCACTGGTTTTGTTGACTTGACTTCTTTTGGTTACTGGGTTCATCCCAATGCTCAGTTTTGGATGTTGGTTGTTGTTGATGTTTTTCGCCCACTCTATGTGTCATTTGGCAGTGCTCAGCCTTGTTTCATTTCCTTAAAAATGGCTTTTTCTGCCATCCTTTAGTTTCTGATGCGGTTTGGGTTTTTCAGCAAATATCTCTTGGTGCATACAAAAATACAACAGTTGTCCAGCTTTGGTGTATATATACTGCTTTTTGATATATAAACCCTAAAGAAATTGGAACATATTATATGTCTTTGAGACAAACTGCTATCAAAAAAGTACCCCAAAATACTTTTTTACTTTGTTTTTTGTTGGTCATCTGCCAAGTTGTCATAATGTGCAATTGAAACACTGATCCATACCTTAAGGAGTCCTTTGTATGCTTAAATGATTTTTATCTCCTGTAACTTTTAAAGCAGAACCAAACTTGAATTAAATAAATTAAAATCTGACCGCAATACAGAAATAAAGTAACTACAGAAAGCAACTATAGAAAAGTAACTTAAAGTAACTGTAGAAAGCTATAGTAAACAGTCAGTTATTTCTGGTTGGCGAATAAGATAAAAAAAAAAACAGAAAATTGCATTTAGATGCTTGTAGTAAAGGAAATTATGCTCAGATCCTCTAGTTAATCTTTTGTTTTGGAAAGTGAAAGTCAATTTTTTATTTTATCTGTACTGACGCTGCTGTCGCAGTTGGCCTGGTCTGTCACCCTTTGGTGAATCACCTAAATTTTCCCCATCTGCATCCGGCTACTTCTTGGAAATCAGGCCTCACGTCAGTGTGCGTTAGCTCAGATGAAGGCAGACAGATGATGACATCGCTCTGCGTGCCCTCTTCCCGTCCGTCGTGCTTCTTGAGTCCCCGAGGTGCCAGACGTGACTGGTTGCTCAGCTCTTTATCGCAGCCATCCCAAACAGCCCCACTCAGCCTTTATCTTTATCTTTTATGGGGAACAAAGGCTGCAGCTGTAATCGGCTGTAACTGCCTCACCTATGAATTCAGTTTAATCTTCGTTGGCCTGGTTGTTGCTGAGAAGCTTATCTCGATCCCCCTTTTAACTTTCCCTCATTAAAGAGCCTAAGACGTACAGATACTGTATGTGAGGTTGCATTTAAATTTGAGCCAAATTAAAACAGTTTTAGGATTAAATAAGGAGGTTAACATTTAGAAAAAGGAGGTGCTGTGAAATATCAATAAAGCACAAAGGCAAAGGTCAATACACAGACTGTAACAAAATCTCCACAAAAGAA